TTGAGGAAAAAAAATTAGTTTTCTTGTAGGAAAAGATCTTACCAGAAAAAAAAGGCCCACTAGCCCTTGCTGGGCTGACTCCCTGCTGTTTGCAGGCATGACTCACGCATCTTTCGTTATGTAGCTGAAGTTGTCTCAGAAATTCATAGTGATATTTCAAAGCTCCAGCAAGAAAGTATGATATTGACCCAGAACTCTGAGAAAGTGATAGTATTACTTCTAGTCTTGTGGTTGTTTGGCAACTTCTACAGTTTCCCTGTGCTTCCATGAAGCATAATCCAGAAAAGGAGCAGTGCTTTCAAACAGCTGAGGTCGGAATGAGGTGGCTCTGCTAACTGCAGTAAATGGACATGCACTTGTTACAAAACATCTGTAAGTGGTTTGTAGTTTACTTCCAGTTAGAAGTCCTATACTCATTTGTTAGAAATAAAATATTTGACATAACCTACTGGGAACTAAATATTTCCCTAAGAAACAATATGTTACCTTAAGAAGGAAAACCTCCCTTAAGATTTTTGGAGGGACTGATTAAAAGCAGCATATTTTTTGATCACTATGTTTTTGGCAAGAAATTCGCCAATTTACAGGCTTTTCTTGATGAGCTAAGAGGATGAGAATTATAAATAAGAGTTTGTTTTTTTAAGATCTTCAATTTAGCAGAAGCATCTGATGTGGCAGGTTTAATCATTTTTCTGCCAGTTAAGAGACAGACTTTCCCAAAGGCAGTGTTTTAATTTTACCTTAATCTTCTAATTATATTGTGTATATGCGTCTCTGTGTAAATTTTTACTCTGATGCTAACTTTTCAAGTACTCCATTCCTTGAGAGAATGATATAATGCCTTGGGGGTCTTGATATCCAGTTACTGAGAACTTTCATATCTCTGCATTGACTAGACTGTAGAGTCAGACACAAAGCTACACCTCACACTGAAAACCCTGGAGGTCCCCCGCATAAATGCAGTATTCTGGCTAGCCTGGTTTGGAGGAAGAACTATTTTATACTACAGAAGAGTGACCTTGCTTTGGTCCTCCCACAGCTTTTCAAGTAATGTGGTATGACGAAGACATGAGGGTGGGATTCATCTGGCTGAATATAAATGTCTACATATGTAGACATCAAACAGCAGCACAGGTTCATGAGCTCGTAGGTTCTGAGTATCTTAGAGTCTTCTCGTCGTCAGTCAGTATAGTCAATGTTGTGATTCATCTCGTCCTGAAGCTGCAACCTAAAAGATGCCAGTTCTGCTCTAAGCATGGAGCTTAGAAAGAATAGTAGGCACCTAATGTTAGTTGAAATAAATCCCATCTGTAATCTTAGTACAGTAAAGTTACACTATGTTGCACTATGAAAATCCAACATAAAATGTAAAGGAAAAGGGGAAAAACGTGCAATATACCTTAGCTTTAGTGGGGTATATTTGCTATATCCTTAATCTTATGGGAATTATTCAGGAATTATTATCATATCACATTTATTCTACTACTTCTGACATTGTCATTGTAAGCCTAAATATGTTTAAAATTATAGATATTTTAAAGCAAATAGTTTAAATAGTTAAAATGAAAGACTAAACAAAAGTTTTGATATTGGAGGGAGTTCAGAGAGGACTAACATGCATAATTAAGGAGGATAGAGAAACTGATTTATGAAGAAGGATTAAAGGAGTAAAATATGTATATTGTAGGTTAACTAAAAGTGATGCATAAGAAGGAACATGATAACCGTCTTCAAATATTTGGTGCATGTAAACCCCAAGAATAGAGAGGAAATTAATATCTGTGTAAATTTCAATGAAGGAAATGTTCTGACATTATGGTTTGATATTGTCTTGCTTAGGCGTTCCTATGAAAGACTTATATGCTGTAGAAGGAGTGAAGTCAAAAGAGAAGATTTATATCTTATAAGAGGGATAACACCAAAAGGGTCTTATAGAAATTATTAAAAAACACTATAGGTTTTGATATAGAATGTTAAGAACTGTGTAACATTTTGAACCATCCTATAAAATTCTATAGAACAATATGATGCACTCATCATTAAATTAAGGAGGGTTTCTAGTTTGTCGTGAAAGTTTGTTTTTCCCACAGGAAAATAAAGTATACAATTATGAGAGAACTCAGCAGGCAGAGTGATCAACTGATTCATCTAAGAAGACAAACTAGTTCCTTTTTACGTGGAAATTATATGCTCTGCAAGCATCCTAATAAATGCTGGCCACAGGAAAAACAGTATGCTCATAATCTGCTACATGTCTTGACAGATCATACAGCTTTTAAAAATTAAGCAGAAGGAAGTTCTAGGTCAAGAAAACTGCCATCATATAGGAATCATATATATTATGCATTATAACACTGTGTATAGACGCCACTGATTTGAGTGGGATTTCTGTTGTCCGGTAACCTTTCTGGTGAACTATCAGGAAATTACATGGCTGGGGAAAAGGATCCACACAGAGGCAGAGTGGGTGGGAACCGAGCCGAAATGAAAGAGTAGTTGTTGAAACCTGGATTTACCAGAAGGGAGAAAAAGAAGCTATATTCAGTGTGGGGTGCATGCTTCTACTTTATGAGACACAATGGTAGCTGTATAGCTATGCAGAGCCCACACCCTCCCCTTTGCCACGGGATATGTCTAGTCCTGTGGTAGAAAGTAATTTAAAAGAGTCAACTGAAGAATCCTTCTTCTTTAGTCATTTATATAGTTTGTCAGAACAGGATTCAAATAGTGTCAATCATCTTGAAATCTAACTAGTTTATGGCTTGTGCTCTGAACCTATCTATCCTTTTGATCTTTTTGCCTTAAGAACGTAACTGCATGAGAAATAAATTAATAAACTTTAAAGCGAATGATACATGTCAGAAAGTCTTTCTGAAAAAATTATCAAGGAGGTAGAAGTGTTCCATGTAAAAAGTTGCACCTTTTTTGGCATAGGAACAGATTTTGAGCTGTAGCTGTGTTCATTTAGTGCAGAATTTAGTTGTAATCACTTACCTTTTCATTAGCAATGCAGAAGCAACATCAGAAGTGGAAGATGTGTCTTTAGACTTTTCCATCTCAAAAATCAGCAACAGATTAGGGTCAATAAAAATACCTGTCTAAAACTCTTACCTAAAACAGGACACAGGAAGGTTTAAGGCGTCTCTGTTGCAACTGTGACTCCAAAAACTTGTATTCATTGACTGCCAGTCAATGTACTGTCATTTAAGCATAATTGGCTTCCCTATTTTCTCTGAAGCTCTTCCAAGTCACCTAATGTTCTATGTCTCAGAAATTCCCAGAAAGTCTCATTCTTAGAAATGTCCAAGGCTAACCAGATAGGTACCTCAGCGTGACTTAAGCAGCCTGGAAACCCCGAAGGTAAGTGATGTGGTTCCCTTATAGCTCAAACCCGCAAACCATGTTTAGAGCCACGTAGTACTTGCCAACAAAACGGGTATCCCCTCAGAATGTTATCATGGATATTTTATTTTTGAAACACAAGTGAAGTCACGTGAAGATGTTGTAGTGGCCTCATGATTAGTGCAATCCTTTAGGAAGCAGAAAACTTCTTTGTACATCTTCTTTGACCTCAGGCATTTAAACCTCTTAATTCTGAGGAAGCACATCTTACCCACTGTGTTCCAGGCTAGCCTACGTATCTGTATCAGAGCTGTGTCGCTCCAGATACAAAACTGAATGTAAAATTCCTGAGGATGAAAAATGAAAGAAAGAATTGTATGGAGAAAGCTGAGTTCTGGCCTTTGTCTTTGGTGCACACAGCTTTTTATACCTACTTTTCATAAACTGGTAGAACTAGGAACAATCCAAAGTAGCATTAACAGCATCTTAACTTCGTCAGTGGTCATATTTTAAAAGAAACCTGCTGAATGATCTGTGAATTCTGAATAAACAGAAGCAGACCTGGTCTTCAGCTGTGACATTAAGTGCCTACTCTCCACAAATTGGCATCATTTCAGCTTCAGCATTGTGAGTTAGAGCTAGCTACTTGTACAGTTAATGCCTATGTTTTCTTTGAGTCAATCCTCTGAGATACTGAAGCTGTTCTATGTCCTCTGTAGGTAACAAATACCTAATCTTGGGCTGGGATTCTACTTTGTGGGCTGAATGCCTGAAACCTAATTGATGTTGCATTGCCTGGGTCTGTAAGCACCTTGGCTGCTCTTTGGATCTAGCCATGAGTAGCAAAGTCCAGAGTCCTGGATACCTGCTGGAAAGTGCCGAGCACACTCAATGGAATTGCAGTGCCATTTATCCTCCTGGCATCTCTGGAGTTCCCTCGTAATTCCTGAAAGCGGAATCTGGACCTCAAAATCCACAGCAGAATATTGCTAAGGATTGGAAATTGGCTTCAATCATAAACTGTCCAGGAGCTGAAATCTAGGGACTTCATCCATTCCCACTTCTAATGTTGAAGTAGAAGCATGCACTGGCATGGCTTGTATTCCAGATCTCAAACCAAGAATGTGGTCTTGGCACATAGACCAATGCCTGCTGTGTGCATAAATTAAGAAAATATTGATAGGGAAATAATTGTGAATAGATAAGCCTAGGACATGAGGAAGACATATTTATAGGCATCTTTCACTTTGTAGCCACACTTCTAAGAATTTCCTGCCTTTTGTTTTAGCCAGACACACGGGACCATTGTAATGCAGTTTTATTTGTGTTTTCTGTTTCCTTCACATTTTTTTTTGAGCAAAAGAGGATTGGGATAAAAAAGTAGTCTTCAAGAAGGGTTTACAAAGTTTATGGTGCAAGGCTGTGGCAATTCACCTCTATGCGCTTAAAACAATCATTAAAACGTGTACATCACATTTTGATACATTATTATGATGCATTATGTAAACTGATGATGATAAAACATTCAGAGTCATTATTCAAACACAGTACATCATAATTGGAGACACTATCCTTTGGAGACACTATGTATTTCTGTCATGGACTTTATGTACAGGATTCATTGTAAAAACTTTGCAAGGGTACTTACTGTGTATTCTCATCATCAGTTTTCAAAAATAATGATCTCAGCCTCTGACCGTGTAAACTCTGAAACAAAAGAAGAGCCCTATTGTCTTCTTGTGTAATCAAGACTTGTTTACAGGATTAGGCCTTCAACAGTAAACACAAGTTCCTGGGCTATACATGTGAGTTCGCAGTCAGTGTTGATTCTGAGCCACTTAAAAGCTAACAAGCTAGTTTGTTTAACGCTAAAACTTAAAAACTGGCCTTGTATTTATACACGTATACTATAAATAGAATATATATTCCTAAATTTGATAGTTTTCCTTTGCAAATTCCAGTTGGTATACTGTGGTTTACAAATATAGATAATATTTTGTGCCAGACTGAAGCAAAAAATAAAACGCAAAATCCAATTTCCTCTGGTTATAGCAACACGCATGATTAAAATTTCCTAGAAATGCCCTCAATGGCTTTGGTAAAGAAATTGTTCTGGTCACTGTGGGGTGGCATTGCAATGCACATTAATATTTACTCTCCCAATAAGATTGGATCAAAAGATTTGGAAATCTGTCACAGAGCACTGCAAATGAAGAGCAAGATAATGAATAGTGGTGGTAGAATATGCTTGGGTTTATATGGGAAATACTGAAGGAAAAGAATGAAGTATATATTAACACCTATTAGTACTGTTTTTCCGAAAACTGCATAGAATGCAAAGGTACTTGGCTTGATTTTACCTCGTTGCAGGATCAATAAGGCCCTGCCAATGAATACCAAAGTTGCATTTTTTTTTTACAGGCTAATTTTTGATCTTGCTTTGTTAATTTAAAGATAGTTGTTCTTTGAATTATGACTATTTGATTTATTAATAATTATAATTACTATTCAAATTATTAAGAATTACTGTTTTATGCTGACTAGAATGTAGTAGCATGAAGCTAAGGATCCACTAGTTTGTCCTTATATTCTGGATGGGGAATAAGCTCACATAACCATAAGCATAGCATCAACTATTGCCATTGTTTGCAGTGTTAGTACAGGCTGCTTACTGAGTAGACAGAAGGAGTCAAATAACTCTTTGCTGCAAGAACTGGCTCATTCAGGTCAGGAGGAGAAACTGATATTTACAGCATTCATGGTAATGCTATTAAAAATGCTGAGCTAAGCCAGCTAAAATGGTCACTCTCTTCAGTTTGCTCTTTAGGATGCTCCATGTCTTACTTGTTAGTTGACATGATACAAATATGGGAAGTATCTCAGGAATGCAGAAATGTTGATCACAAAGGTCATTTTAGAATGAAATCTATTAACTCTATTTATGTGAGTATATCAGCTCTTTGTCAATGCATGGTACAGCCATGTGATCTCATGAACAATGCCAAGTTTGTCTGTAATTCTGCACTCCTGAAAGAAAAATCAGTATTTTTCTCCTACATGGAAGAGAGTGCTTCTATCTTGTGTGACTATACAATCTGGCAATCTGAAAAATGTCATCCAATGCAATGTGAAGAGGGAGAATGAAAAACAAATCCATGCTAGTATAGTTTTAACACTAGCAGATAATGAAGAAATTATTTATAAGGAAATATGGGGTTTAGAAGGACTGATTTTTACTTATGCACATTCCAACAGTGAATTCTGAGACCAACATGGAATATACAGCTACATGTTAAATTTAAATTGGCAGGAGCTTCTCTTTTATTTTAACAAAGGATGGAGGAGAAAATAAGTTTCATTTTACACGCATGTGTGCACACACACAGGCACACAAAGGAACACAAACTATTGCAGAAATGATGGTTTCAGTCCAATTAGGTGAATTGAATGTGGTTATGTTGTTGTGGTTCTCAGGGCTCTAATTGCACATAAAAAACATCCAAATCATAACACATGTGGTATTTCCATCCAAAACAAAAGGAGAATTATTAAAATGTGGTGGGATTTCATGTAACATTGGCAGACAGCTTAGATGGCAATAATTTAACACTTGCACCATGAAATTAAAATTTACATTCACTTGGTGCAAGTCTTCAGACCAACAGCAGACAGTTGTATTTTTTTAATGAGAGCAGGGAGATTTAATTACTTCGGTTTAACAAGAAAAGCCTTTCCATTGCTTGATGACAAAGGCATGGCTGGCACAATGCTGTAGATACAATGCTGGCACAAGTCTGTAGATACTTTCTGAGCCTGCTCTCCATATTATCCCTAGCTCTGCTTTAAGGCATCCAGCCTTCTGAAGGCCGTGAACCACCATGTAGATTCTTCTGCAGATTCCAAGTAATGCATGTTAATTCCAGCCGCCCATAAATCATTTTTGAAAGACAAATATTATGGCTGCTACAAGCATTTGGAGTAAGTTGCCAAAATCTTCATCATTGTACATTTCTGTACAAATTATACTACTATTTCTTCTCACAAATTCTTCCCTTTGACAATGATTTCTGTTATATTGCGTTACTGCCCATATAATAAATACTAAAGAAGAAGTGAGCCGTAACTCACTGGACACAAACTACAAAAATACATTTGATTTATATTACCGTAAGAACTGGTAGGACAGATTTACCAAGTTTTTATCCAGAAATGTATTTTTTCCTGATAGTTGAGACAAACATGTAGCTGGAATGCTATCCTGAGGCTACACACAATCCTAACTTAAAGTGCATATAAATAATTAACACAAGCATGTTCTATACTTGGTCAGACCAGGAGATGAAGGGATGAATTGAAGGCCTCCTTTATAACCTGGCAGAGTCTTTTGATGAGAGCTGCTCTGTGCAAAAAGGTCAGGATTGGGAAGAGAGAATGGAGCACAGGTACCACACACATATACTGGGGATAAGGAAGACTGGGATTGTGGGGGGATTGTAGTTAGGGCAAAATGGAAAATGAATGCCAAGGTAATAGTGTATTGTACACTTACTTTTTGTTCAATTAATTAGAAGGATCCCCCCCATTTTTCTTCTGGATTTCAACGTCTGTCACCTTTAAGACAGAATAAGCAGTAAACGTCTTGGTTTCATTTTCTCACTACAGTGGTACATTATCACAGCCCAGGAATATACATTCCTTTCACTGTCTGCATGATGCCTCTGAAACAGTAAATACTGAGCCCAGTGCAATGGCAGTGCTTTATAATCGCCCACTGACCTGAATTTAAGGACACAACACTTAGGGATAGGAGGAAGAGGAGAAGGAGAAAGCCTCCCAGAACCCACCTTATTGCCTTTATGTTTGAAATGGAAAATACAGATGTTGCAGAAGTACACGTCTGGGACATTGTTTCCACATTTTGACAAAGACTAATCTTCACTGCTTTTCAGCTAAGTAGCTTAAAACCAACTTCTTCCCCCTTCCCGGAACTGTAATAGTTTGAAATAAAATCGAATACAACTGGTGATATTGCAGTCCCTGCTGTTGCACTTATTTTCTTTCTCTTCTCCCCAGAAGCTCTGCTGGATTCTTGTCTGGGTTATAGGGTTTAGGCTATTTTCTTCTTTCACCACTGTTCCAATGCTCCATTTGCAAAGTGTTTAGATTATAGCAGACGCGAACTTCCTCTGTCTCAGAGCCAGTCATGAATCAGGCTGAGAGCTGGGACCACTGGCTGTCAGAGGACCCTGAAAAGCTGCAGCTTTAAAATAAGTGTTTGACAGCTCAGTTTACAAAACAGCAGATTGTGGCTATATTGTACTATGTAGCTCCATGTGACATAATAACTAGGGATTTAAAGTTATTTAGTCTTTTTCCTCTCACCATAATTTCCAGTAAATAAATCTCTCTGGGATGGGAGGTCTGTTGAGTTCTACAAGGCTTGCATTTTCCTCCCCACAGCTTGTCCCCTCCTTTCTGTATTTTAGAAGTTAAAAAAACTCGGTGCCTGGTAATCATAGTTCTATAACATTTCCTGTTGGAATAGACAGACTAATGTAAAGATAAACATGTACAGTTTTTTTTATTAGTCAAGGTATTCATAATAAGTCTTCCTATCAAAATCTCTTTAGAACCTGCTTAATGGACAGAGCTTAATATTGTGTGGTTGGAGTGGAACACAAGCAATTATTTTTAACGTTTTTAAATGGTGCTTTTGAAAAAGGATTTTGCTTACAAGATTCCTGTGAGTTTTATTTTTCAAAATCAGTGGTTGGAGTTGGCATAAGAGTGGATTCATGTGCGCTGAAAAAAACTTGAAGCAAATAAAATATGACTACAGGAATGTTCTTCTTTCTGCCAGCACAAAATATGATGGAATGAGTGAAAGGAAGACTTTACATTCACACATTTTCTGTAAGAGAATTAACTATTTTTGCTGCATTCCCATTGTAATAACAAAATGGCAAGAAGTGCCAACATTTTCTTGATCTAATTTTTCCTTTACTAATATTTAGGCTTTCAAAGAAGCCCAGAGGATATGCTTGCTCAATTTCCATGAGACATTCAAATCCCTTTGCTTTTGAAATCCCAAGTCTAATTTTTTACTTTATTTTCTCTTTAAAGACCTTGATTCTTCAGAGTTTCTTTACACTGATTTTCACTGTAACCTTAAAAATACATATACTACATGTTTAGGGATATATTTTGCAGGTAAGCCTGCAAGAGGCTATACTTTAAAATGTTTACACTTGAACATTCATTTTTTAATCCTCTTTGGATAATAGGATACAATATAGAGTAGATTACATCCACAGATGTTGTGTTGCATAACATAGGCATAGTTTCATTCTAACTTCAGCTATCTTCAGTTGAGTTCATCATCTTAGGCTCCATCTGTGGTCTATGAAGAGAAACAGGCCTTATTAGGGCATGCTTTCTCTGACCTATTTTAAGTATGTACTTTAGGATGACATGAATCATAACCTGAACTCCACTGTCTACGCTGAATAGATCTCCATTGACTGTCAAGGGAACCCAGGATGATTAATTGTGTTGACATCTATACTCAGCCAGATTATTTCTACTCTTAAAGCCAAAGTGCACTTCTAGTCTGCAAGAATCTGCAGCCTCGAGCTAAGCATTTCAGCTTCTCCTTGCCACTGATATCTAAAGGAAGGATGCCTAGTGTTAATCCTTTCAGAAGAACC